CTCATTAGTACAATCGTTTCTCTCTGGTAATTATTTCCTCTTTCGTTTTTGGATATCCTGAGCGACACAGCATTCAGGCCACATACACACACACACACACACACACACACACACACACACACACACATATATAAAATGTTTGTGTGGGTGTGTCTGTCTGCATGTGTGTATTTAAAAAGACTTGTTTTTTGCAAAAGCATTATGTATTAGTTACAGCTTGATGCAACAAACAAGATTTTGATGTAATGCAATCATGTAAATGAGAAAAATGCATGTACATGAATACTCTTCATTTTCATGTAATTGGCCCAATGACATATTTCTTTTTATGTATAGTTTTGTGTGCAGTTGAGGGAAAGTGCATTTGCCTGCTGACTGTAAGGAATGATTGCAAAAATTCAAACTGACAAATGTGAATAAAATTTGTTCATGCATAAATAATATGAAGCAATTCGTGTGTGAATTCAAGCTGGTAATGGTACAAAAATCACTTGAGAATAATGTTGAATAACTGAAAAGACTATTAAAGCGGTGGCATGTAAGTTTTAATTGTTGACTAACCTTAAAAATCCTTACATTTGACCATTTGACCCTGTTTTATGAGAAAAAGTAAGTAATCTTTCATATTTTATTTTGCTATGCCCCTCCCGTGGCCTCTACAACTAAACAAATAATTTCTGCGAGCCTACCTCATTGACCAATAGCGCTGCTTTTCCACCAGAGGAAAATGTCAGTCAACGAGAACGAGCCTCAGTCACTAGCGTACACAATGGTGGCATTCACCTAAGTTGTCTCGACATCACAACAAAGCAAGAAATACTGTTACAGCTTCCTTGACTGCCTTAAAGTGACAATGTGTAATCTTTAACCATTAATCTCTGGAAATGTCCATCAAAATGTTGTTGAAAATGAATGAAATGAGGCCCAGTTTTAGAAAAATATTGGTAATTCATAACGTATAACCATAAAAATCTGGTCAAAAATACATAGGAGTGGGTCTAACTTTCTGGGTGACGCCACATTAGACACCATGTTTCCTTCTACCTGAGCCAATTGAGGACAAAAAGCATTTACTGATTTGTAACAAATGATTACAAAACTTTCACCATTCATAAACATTGTTGTTTTACACATTTACCTCTTCACTTGTGGCCAGTGATGAAAGGGAGTCTGATGTGTTTGTCATTTTGGTCGAGGTTGTGCTCCCAAGGATTTTTGACCCTAATGGGCATCTGTTGCTAAGGCTTTATTCAAACAGAAAAATACTGCTTGCTTACAATGATTTAGATATATACTGCCCCCGTCGCCAGGGAAAATAATAATAATAATAATAATAATACATTTTATTTCAACAGGGCCTTTCTGAACACTCAAGGACACTTTACAGACAGAGATAAAATACACAACAATAAAAGATAAAACAGCATAAAACAAACAGACAGATTGGAGCAAAGAGAGTAACTATTGGAATGCTGGATGGAAAAGGTGGGTTTTGAGTCTGGTTTTAAATAGAGTGAGGGAATCAATGTTACGGAGGTCAGGAGGGAGTGAGTTCCAGAGCTGGGGAGCAGAGCGACTGAAGGCCCTGCTCCCCATAGTGACCAGATGGAAAGGTGGGACAGAGAGGTGGATGGAGGAGGAGGACCTGAAGGAACGGGTGGAGGTTGAAGGATGAAGGAGGTCTGAGAGGTACGGTGGAGCTATGGATGGCTTTGAATGTATATAGCGGAATTTTGAATTGGATTCTGGAAGTGACTGGGAGCCAGCGGAGCTGCTGAAGAACAGGGGTGATGTGGTGGAAGGAGGGAGTTCTGGAAATGATGCGGGCTGCCGAATTCTGGAGAAGTTGGAGTTTATGGAGGGATTTGTGAGGAAGACCGAAGGGAAGAGTGTTGCAGTAGTCAACACGGGAAGTGATGAGGCTGTGGACAAGTATGGCGACCGAGTGAGTAGTGAGGGAGGGGCGTAGGCGGTTAATGTTACGTAGATGGAAGTAGGCAGACTGGGTAATATTGTTTATGTGGGACTGGAAGGATAGTGAGGAGTCGAGGATGACACCCAGAGTCTTGACCTGAGGGGAGGGGGAAACTAAGGAGTTGTCGACAGGAAGTGTAAAGCTGTGGATTTTGGATAGTAAAGATTTAGTGCCGACAAGTAACATTTCTGTTTTATCACTGTTAAGTTTGAGAAAGTTTGATGTGAACCAGTCTTTGATTTCAGATAAACAATTGGTGAGGGAGGAAGGAGGAAGTGAAGAGGAGGGTTTGGAGGATATATAGAGCTGGGTGTCATCCGCGTAACAATGAAAATGGATGTGAAATTTACGGAAAATATTTCCCAGGGGAAGAAGGTAAGTGATGAAAAGGAGTGGACCGAGAACAGAGCCTTGGGGGACGCCAGTAGTGACAGGGAAGGGACGGGAAGTGAAGGATTTGAGTTGAATAAACTGAGTATGGCCAGAGAGATATCAACAGAACCAATCAAGCCGGGTATGAGAAATGCCAAGGGAAGGCAATCTATGGAGAAGGATGGTGACCCTCTCTGAGATGACATCCGTTTTGCGCACTGATACTGGTAACGCAGCTAGGACATTGTCCAGCTTACGATTCACCTCGAGTAACGTCCCAGTCTGTGAGGTCTCCACACGGATGGTGCTTTCCGTGGGTGCGGGTCGCCCTCCAATCGCTCCCGTCTTCCCAAATTTCCAGAAAACCAGATATCCTCCCACTCCAATAAGAAGAAATAGTTATCATCAGGCCAAATTTCCACACATCTTCGACATCCTGGGGCGACGGTGGCACAGGAGTTAAGTGCTCGCCCCGTAATCAGAAGGTTGCAGGTTCGAGCCCCGCTCAGTCTGTCGCTGTCGTTGTGTCCTTGGGCAAGACACTTAACCCACGTTGCCTGCTGGTGGTGGTCGGATGGACCGGTGGCGCCAGTGCTTGGCAGCCTCGCCTCTGTCAGTGTGCCCCAGGGCAGCTGTGGCTACATCGTAGCTCATCACCATGAGTGTGTGAATGTGTGTGTGAATGGGTGAATGACTGATTGTGTTGTAAAGCGCCTTGGGGGGTTCCAGGACTCTAGAAGGCGCTATATCAAATACAGGCCATTTACCATTTACCATTACCATCCTCAATGGACAACTGAGAGAGGCATACGATCTTCCACTCCCTCCAGGAATCGAACATAGATCCTGCTGTGTGTGTCCCTTGCGGGCAAGTGGGAGCCCCCCCTCCATTCTCATCGTAGAAAAAAAACTTATCAATCGCGTTGAATGACCAATTAATTAAATCCATTCTAAAAAATAGGGTTTTTCAGAAGAGATGCAGAGAAGTGCTCTGTGGGCAGACAGGACAAAGAGCCTTGGGAAAAAAAGATAAGGGAGCAAAAGCAGAAGCATCTGAACTCTGTGAAGAGGATCTTACATGGATGGAAATTCAAAGAGTCGGAGTACCCGGCCTGGAGGGTTACCGAGGTCCCATCCTGGAGCCAGGCCTGGGGTTGGGGCCCGTGAGCGAGCACCTGGTGGCCGGGCTTTCGCCCACGGGGCCTGGCTGGGCCCAGCCCGAACCGGATACATGGGCTCATCCAACTTTGGACCCACCAACCGCAGGAGGAACATGAAGGGTCCGGTGCAGTGTGGATCGGGTGGCCGACTGAGTAGGGAGCCTTTGCGGTCTGATCCCCGGACAAGGAAACTGGTTTTTGGGACATGGAACTTCACCTCGCTGGCAGGGAAGGAGCTGGAGCTTGTGGAAAAGGTTGAGCGGTACCGGCTAGAAATAGTCGGACTCACCTCGACACATAGCATTCGCTCTGGAACCCAAGTTCTTGAGATGGTGTAGACACTCTCCTTTGCTGGAGTTGCTCCGGGTGAGAGGCGGAGGGCTGGGGTTGGCTTTTGGTTAGCCCCAAGACTCTCTGCCTGTGTGTTGGGGTTTACCCCGGGGGACGAGAGGGTAGCTTCCCTGCGTCTTCGGATCGGGGAATGGGTCCTGACTGTTGTTTGTTCTTATGGGCCAAATATCAGTTCAGAGTACCCACCCTTTTTGGAGTCCCTGGGACGAGTGCTAGATAGTGCTCCATCAGGGGACTCCATTGTCCTGCTGGGGGACTTCAATGCTCAGGTGGGCGATGACAGATTGACCTGGAGGGGAGTGATTGGCAGGAACGGCGCGCCTGATCTGAACTCGAGTGGTGTTTCATTATTGGACTTATGTGCAAGCCGCAGTTTGGCCATAACAAACACCATGTTAGAACATAGGGATGCCCATTGGTACACTTGGTACCAGGGCAGACTAGGTCGCAGGTCGATGATAGACTTTGTAGTCGTATCATCTGACCTGCGGCCGTATGTTTTGGACACCCGAGTGAAGAGAAGAGCGGAGCTGTCAACTGATCACCACCTGGTGGTGAGTTGGATCAGATGGTGGGGGAAATGCTGCGTAGACCTGGCAGACCCAAATGCATAGTGAGGGTCTGCTGGGAACGCCTGAAAGAAGAACCTGTCAAGACGGTCTTCAACTCCCACCTCAGGCAAAGCTTTGACCGCGTCCCGAGAGCAGTGGGGAACATAGACTCCGAGTGGGCTTTGTTCCACTCTGCGATTGTTGAGGTGGCTGTTGCTAGCTGTGGTCACAAGGTGGCCAGTGCCAGTCGTGGTGGAAACCCCCGTACCCGCTGGTGGACACCAGAGGTTCGGGGAGCTGTCAGGCTGAAGAAGGAGGCTTGCAGGGCGTGGCTGGTTTGTGGGTCTCCGGAAGCAGCAGACAGGTACTGGATAGCCAAGCGGGGTAGAGCAGTGGCAGTTGCCGAGGCAAAATCTCGGGAGTGGGAGGAGTTTGGTCAGGCCATGGAGAAAGACTATCAATCGGTTCCAAAGAGGTTCTGGCAAACTGTCCGGCGCCTCAGGAGAGGAAGGAAGCAATTCGCTCACACTGTTTACAGTGGGGATGGGGAGCTGCTGACATCAATCGGGGCTATAGTCGGATGGTGGAAGGAATACTTTGAGGAGCTCCTCAATCCCACCTACGCGCATTCCGAGGAGGAACCAGAGCCGGGAGACCTGGGGATGGACTGTCCAATCTTGGGGGCAGAAGTTGCTGAGGTAGTCAAACAACTACACAGCGGTGGAGCCCCGGGTGAGGATGAGATTTGTCCTGGGCTATGGATGTGGTAGCGCTGTCGTGGTTGACATGTCTCTGCAACATTGCTTGGTCATCGGGGGCAGTTTCTGTGGAGTGGCAGACCGGGGTGGTGGTCCTCATCTTAAAGAAGGGTGGCCTGAGGGTGTGTTCCAACTATAGGGGGATCACACTCCTCAGCCTCCCTGGAAAGGTCTACTCCAAGGTACTGGAGAGGAGGGTCCGATCGATAGTTGAATCTCCCGTGAGGGTTGGACTCCGCCAGGCCTGCCCTTTGTCACCAGTTCCGTTCATTACCTTTATGGACAGAATTTCTAGGTGCAGCTATGGTGTGGAGTGTGTCGAGTTTGGTGGCAGGAGAATCTCGTCTCTGCTTTTTGCGGATGATGTGGTCCTCCTAGCTTCATCCAGCTCTGACCTTCAGCTTTTGCTGGGTAGGTTCACAGCCGAGTGTGAAGCGGCTGGGATGAGGATCAGCACCTCCAAATCTGAGACCATGGTTCTCGACCGGAAAAGGGTGGCTTGCCAACTCCGGGTCGGGGGAGAGGTCCTACCTCAAGTGGAGGAGTTTAAGTATCTTGGGTTCTTGTTCACGAGTGAGGGTAGGACGGATCAGGATATCGACAAGCGGATTGGTTCAATGTCTGCAGTGATGCGGACGCTGAGCCGATCTGTCGTGGTAAAAAGGGAGCTGAACCAGAAAGCCAGGCTCTCGATTTACCGGTCGATCTACATCCCAATCCTCACCTATGGTCATGAGCTTTGGGTAATGACCAAAAGAACAAGATCGCGGGTACAAGGGGCCAAAATTAGTTTCCTCCGTAGGGTGGCCGGGCTCAGCCTTAGAGATAGGGTGAGGAGCTCGGACATTCGGGAGGGACTCGGAGTAGAACCACTGCTCCTCTGGATCAAAAGGAGTCAGTTGAGGTGGTTTGGGCATCTGGTCAGGATGCCTCCTGGACGCCTCCCTGGGGAGGTGTTTCGGGCATGTCCTGCCGGCAGGAGGCCCCCGGATCGACCCAGGACACGTTGGGGAGGTTACATCTCCAATCTGTTCCGGGAACGCCTTGGGGTCCTGCCGGAGGAGCTGGTGGAGGTGGCCGGGGAGAGGACAGTCTGGAGCTCCCTAGTTGGAATGCTGCCCCTGCGACCCGGACCCGGATAAGCGGAGGAAGACGATGACGATGACGACGACGACGAACATGTGTGCAGTCCCATGTTATAAAAATGGCAGATTCTTTTTTTTTTCCCCATGTCCTGTCTGGCTGTGAAGCAAACAGAATTTATGTCTGAATGCTGGTGACTAGCCTTACAGATTTACTCTCAGGAGCAGCATCAGTGCTTCTGCTTTATAAGGACTATAAGGAAGTTTGACAGTCAAAACATGTATAAAAATAATAAATGTCTTCTTCATACATTATTCTGCATTTCCCTGGTCCTGTAGAATGAGCCCTGGCATTTTTACTGTAATTGCCTGTTTTTCTGTAAAATCACAGAAAAGAGAGCTGCTCGGGTCGAGCAGGCTACTTCATGCGCGTTCACGCTCAGGCATAGCCCTTAGCATTTGCTATCCATAGCTTTAGCAACAGAGAGAGAGGCAGCGCCAACTCAGCGACTTTGTCACTGTTCCTAACGCCTAGTGACAAACCTAGCTACATTTCTGAGGACCCTTAGCTACTTTCTGTAGAACTTTCTTCTAGATATTTCCTCCAAATTAGCAACAAAATAGCAATTTTCGCTCCGAACCATTCTTTGGATTGACATTGTTTCAACTGTCATCAATGATTTAAATGTTAGACACATCAAATGTTACTGGCGCGTAGCTAACCTTGTAAGATGTTTGACTCTCATGCGGAAGACCTGGGTTTGATTCCGGGTGTGAAGATAGTTTATTTGGAGTTTCTTTTTTACATTAATGATATAGTTTTTTACAGTAATAAGACGCCCAAATTTTTATTTGAGACTTGCCGAAAGGCATTGAATTCATGGATAAAAAAGATATGGGTTCAAATTTCATTTTAGAACAAATTTTCAAGCAAGGGAAGGGAATGATCTGAACATGCAGGAGGACTGACCCATCATAAACCTTTTTCGGCTGTGCTGAAGAGAAAGGTACAGAACCAAAACAAACCACAAAAATAAACAATCAACGAGAGCACCTGTGTGCGTACACGTGGTTGTATATGTAAGGTTTCTCTATAGGAGCGTTCAATAGAGAGTGTGAGGGGCCACAGATCTGCCCCCCAAAAGATGTGTAGGAGATGGAGGGAGCTTCAAGTACCAGAGATCCAGGAGCTGTCCCAGAGTGCAGGGAGACTGTAAGCAGAAAAGCCCCAGCCCCCTCTCGAGAGGCGCAGAGGATTGTCCCGGGGGGCACAACCAGCAGCTGGTATAGTCCCGGGAGGTATCAGGTGCAAGCCCACAGGCCTGCCCGCAGCCTCCTACCGCTCCCACCGGCCGAGCCCAGAACCCAGCGACCCGGGACCCAGGGGCAACCAGCCCCACCGGGTACCCAACAGAGCCCAGGGACTCAGATCCCACCAGGCAGCCACCAGGATCGATCAGACAGACTCCGAAAATCTTAAACCCCCTTACCCGGGAGCCATGAGCGCTCAAGCAGACCAAGGCATCACACTCCACACCAAATGTGGCAGGGGGAGGGTAGGCAAAGATGTGTAGTAGCAAAAGAAGTCCATGGAGAGGGAGGAGTCCAATGGGCCATTCCCATCTGTACCGGGTCAGCCCGGGCCGGGTAGCCCCAGTCGGTCCCAGCCTGGCCCGGTTGATTCCACACATCCTTGCCTTAAGCCCATGTGGGCTGATTCTACCTACCAATCAGAGGCTTGCTCTAATGGAAGGTGTGAATTTGCCGTCAGCAGTGGGTGTGTTGGCCCTGGTCGGCCTGAAGCAGACCCCTTCGAAAAGAGGGCTGAGAGTGAGCCTTGGTTGGCCCGGAAAAATACCAGGCCACCCAAATATGTAAACAACCTACGCTACCCGGCCTGGGCCAACCCGGTACAGATGGGAATGGCCCACAAGACCCCACCTGACATATACAGCCATGCACAGACACAGTCACACACTCCCTCCCTCTCATCATCATAAATAATCACTTGGATCAGTATAAATGTATTTTTAATTACTGAAATGAATTATTATGCTTTGGGTATAATTATGATTATGATTGGTGATCAGTAATGTGTGTTCAGCAAATCGGAAGGTCAACTTCCACTTATCCATCCAACACAGAACTGATCCAGAGTAAGGGTAACTTCCATCACGTGTCTTGACTCATGACCAAAGTTTTCTTGCTCTGAGAGTGGGCATGTTCTGAGGACTTTGGTAAACTAAGTGCCAGCAGCTTTCACTCCAGTTCGTGAACCAACCACCAACAGAGGATCAGGGAACGGACGTCCCTGAAGCCTCCACCTGCTGTTCTGTCACGCCGATGAGAATAACTTCGAATAAACGTAACTGTAGCCAGCTGACGCAAAACTCCTCAGAGTTATTAATTTTTGAGTTAAGTAAGACGAAACTCCTTCAGAGTAAGCCAGACGCTCTACATTGTATACCCGGCAACATCTTCGGACCAGAGAGTCATTTCCTCGAGTCTCCTCTACCAGACCGAGTACCTGGAGGAAGAAACCATCCTCCCTTGACCTCCGGATCCTCATGAAGGGTTGTCCTTGCTGGGTGAGGTAGCACACAGATTGTGTCTGATGCTGTTTTCTCTAAGTAAACAACAGTTAGCTGCAAAACCATCATCCAACCCAGAACACGTTCCTGTCTCTGAAAGAAACCTTCTGAGAAATTCATTCACGCATCCAAACTCGTATTTTCCATTTAGCTTTCATCCAGCCACAGGTTTGCCTTTTAAACAAGTTTAATATCAAAGCTGTTAAAAATTGTCATGAAATTGTCATCCATGAATTGTCATTTCTAATTTTCATTCAAATCGTCAAGTTTAAAATTGTTTGTGATAAATTCTTCATTTTTAAACTTGCCTCATTCTTTGAAATGACACACAGAAAGGTATCCTGGATATTTATACATGATATAAGCTTCATAGATTAATCTGCTTGGTCATTCTCAGAACTTACAACTGAATAGCAACAGTGTTGATTCTAGTATGTAGATAACCCTACATAATTGGCGAGCCAGCCAGTCTTATTGAACAATCCGGCGAGCCATTTTTTTTTTTCAGATCAAAACATGCTATTTCTGTGTTTTATTTTTAATATTTTACTAAAAACGGGAGTTGTGTCACCTTAATTTTCTTCCTCCGGAAACTCCCGGGAGGGAAGCTTTTTACGGTAACGCCGACTCAGGCAAACATCCGGCAAGTCGTGACACAACGTTTAGACAGTGATTAATCCACAAGTCTGTGGAACTGTTTAAAGACATCCTAATTGATAAAGTAAGTGAATGTGTTGTTTGATTGTGTGTTTGAGTGTGTTTGAACCTTTATTCGCCATTTTGACATGTAGTGTCTTCTGAGAGAGAATCCATTCTCCCTCTCTTCATGCTAGCAAAGCTAGTAGCTACTCAGCCTTACACGGCAAGAATAGCATCCCGTTCTCCGATATAGCTTAAACGCACTTATCTTAAGCTTTCGGGAACACCAGACGTAGTCTGATCGAGTGGTTTTGTACAAAATTCGTCACTACCACTCCTGCGCGCACTTGTTAGTTTAAAATGAACAAAGAAGTTCAGTTTTAGACAAGATAGCATAACAATAGCTTTCGCGTCTGAACACTGCAAACAAACAGCTCATCCAGCTTAAGTCGACCAGCCAGTGCACGACGCGCCGCAGCTGAAGAGGGAATCACCTTATCGAAGGGGAAATACCTAAAAGTCCAGAGATTGTTCAACTCGTTGCCGCCAACTAAGCTAAATATATAGTAACGTTGTCGTAGGGCAGTGGTTCCCAAACTTATTTAGCTATATATATATATATATATATATATATATATATATATATATATATCAGATGTCACGCTAAACCAGGGGTCGGCAACCTGTTCCTGTCATAGAGCCATTATTACCCGTTTCCCACAGTAAAGAAAAAACAGCAGCAGCCGCGGCGTAGTGGGCGGGGCCTACCCTCAGACAGCAGAGCGCTGCTCAAAACAGGTGACAGCAGCCGGTACCGCTCGCTCGTGTACGTCAAAGCTGTCTTTCATAAGAATATACTCAATAAAACGATTTATATAAAGTGGATCCAGAAGTTGTAGCCTGTCTCTGCCTACAATATTTTGGTATTTTTCACCCTGGTGGTGGTTTTACTGAGCAGGTGCCACTTTTGTCATACGTTTCTTTTTAAAACATGTTTAGACTGTTCAGAATACAAATCCAGGCTCTGTCACGTTTGATTGTTGTAATTAAACTTTGTAGGTGGGGAAGGTCAGAAAAGGATCCGATCATTTTGTCTTTCCCTCATTTACAGTGACGGAGATAACGGTGCAGTGCGCCTGGCTCTGGTGTTAATCAAGTTAAATTTTTAACAATTTTCACAAGAAAACAAAACAGTTAAAAGCAGGGCTTGTGTTGACCGGACAGTTCCTGTATTTGGCCGTTCATTTTGACGGAGAAAGAATTACCCCGACGCATGCAGACGAACTGACATTTTATTCTGCGCACATCGCAGATGTAGCTAAATCACTCAAGAAAAGATTTCCTTCTGAACATCTGAGCTGGACACCACTCAGCGCAGCTCACTGTCAGCACATACACAAGGTGCACAGCGAGCTGAAGCTGTGGAGAGGGGCTTAGAGCACGTTGCAGAACCAGAGCGCAAGCGGGAGGATTCCTTCCACTGAAGCGAGAGTTTTCCAAACCCGGTCTCTCCGAGAGACTTGTCACTTAGAAAATGTTCTCTGATGATGAAACTTTGGCTGAATTGTGCTTGTTCCTGTCTCCAACGTGGTGTCTGAGGAGAGTCCCAGAATCTCACATCGTCTTCAGCTCAGAAAGCGCCTATATGATTACGCACAAGCGTGACGCGTCAACCCGGTCACACAGTAGACCGGGTTGGACCTGTTCAGGTTTACGCAGACAATCTTTACATTTAGAATTAGCTTACAGATGTAAAATGTATGCAGTAAAATATAAAGCATTTCATTTAAATATCCATTCATTATTTTACAAGCACAGAGAGCCGCATCAGATGGATGGAAGAGCCGCATGCGGCTCCTGAGCCGCGGATTGCCGACCCCTGAGCTAGGGCATGTGCGGAGGACACACACACACACACACACACACACAAGCAAAATATACTTGTTTTCAATTATGTTTATTGGGCCCACTTACATTTTCTTAGGCCCACCCACAAATGAGTTTCTGGCTACGCTAATGGTGACTTTTGACAGACTTCTCTGAGCTCCGCAGCCATTACACTTTTCACCTCGCGCACCCCCTAGCGACAGCTCACGCACCCCCGGGGGTGCGCGCGCCACACTTTGGGAATCCCTGTCGTAGGGGATAGGATTTACTTGGGTAGAACCGAGCAATAAAAAAAGTTGCAGTTTACCGTAGCATCTCCGCTTAATCCTTTTTGGGTAAATATTTGGTTTTAAAACCACTGTGTTTTAGCCAAAAACAAGAGTTTAGCTTCAACTGCTTAGCTCATCCATACATCTCTGGTTGCAGGAGAGCTAAGCACCAGGCCTCCCTCCATTAACCACAGTTCCTTAGCCGATCGATGCTGCCATCTTGTGGCGGTTTTAACACCCGGCTTAATATTGCTTATTTTGCGGCTTTTTGTCGCTTTGAGGAAAGGAATGTCACACCCCTCCTCCACTCCAGCATAGCGGCAGCCGCCACCCCTCACCTGGACACTCTTACTCCTCTTTCCTCTAAATCACAAGCTACGTTCCTTGTGAAGGAAGAGGATGTCTGCATCATCTTTAGGAGACAGAACGTACGGAAGGCACCAGGCCCAGATGGAGTAACTCCTTCCTGCCTCAGGACCTGTGCTGTCCAACTAGCACCTGTCTTCACAACGATATTCAACAGATCGCTGGAGCTGTGTGAGGTTCCATCATGCTTCAAAAGCTCAACTATCATCCCAGTACCGAAGAAATCCTCCCCTACAGAATTGAATGACTACAGACCCGTGGCTTTGACATCAGTAGTCATGAAGTCCTTTGAGCGCTTGGTGCTGTCCCATCTTAAAAGCACCACAGGCCACCAGCTGGATCCCCTGCAGTTTGCATATAGGGCAAACAGGTCAGTGGATGATGCAATTAACATGGGGCTGCACATCATCCTGGAACATCTTGATCAACCAAGGACCTACGCAAGGATATTGTTTGTGGATTTTAGCTCTGCTTTTAACACTGTTATACCAGAAATCCTCACCTCAAAGCTTTCTCAGCTCACTGTTTCCCCTGCTATGTGTCAGTGGATTTCCAGCTTCCTGACAAATAGGAGCCAGCATGTGCGGTTGAACAATGTTACGTCTGGCACAAGGCTGATCAGCACCGGTACACCACAGGGGTGTGTCCTTTCTCCACTGCTCTTTTCATTGTACACCAATGACTGCACCTCTAATGACTCAGCTGTAAAAATCCTGAAATTTGCAGACGACACCACTGTCATTGGGCTCATCCAGGATGGTGATGAGTGTCATGCTGTGGGTAAGAGCTTTCACCCAGGACATGAAGAATCACATCAGAGGAACGGTGAGTAAAAGTAAAATGGTTTATTAACAATGAGGAACAACTGATAAGGCAAAAACTAACTAACAGCGCTGCTGCAGATCAGGAACAGGAGGAGACCGGAATCTACGGGAATATAAACAGAAGGTGAGCGAGACCAGAACCAGAGAACCAGGAGATGAGTCTGTGACTGGGAAAGTTCTTACGGTCAGGAGTCGGGACCAGAGCGGAGGCGAACTGAGGAAGGTCGGACCAGAAGAGGAGTTCAGAGCGTGTGGCAGGCGGGCAGACGTGGAGAGAGGAGTCCAGAGGATCTTTAAGTGACGCGACGTGGGAACAACTCCAGGCAAGGTAGGTGATGCAGGTACAGGTTACTGGAACAGAGTTTAAGGTTACCAACATGGAAACACGGACAAGCAGGCAGGTTCAGAGGCTAGAGGAATACCCATGTGAGAGTATCAACCGGCACTGGAGTTGAGTCGCACCGCTCCTTAAATCCTCTCTCCCTCAATTAGTCAAACACCCAACAGGTGTGCCGTCTGCCGCGCCTACCTGCAACACAAAACAAAACAGAAAAATCCACCAGTAGGTGGAGGCAAACCGTGACAATGAGTGCTTATCAGCGAGAAGTTGAGAGGCTGGTGGTCTGGTGTAGTCAGCACAATCTTGAGCTTAACACCCTTAAGACTGTGGAGATGGTCGTGGATTTTAGGAAGCTTCCCACAGTGCTGCCCCCCCTCACAATATCCAACAGCCCAGTGTCAATGGTGGACTCATTCAAGTTCTTGGGAACTATCATTTCCAGGGATCTGAAGTGGGAAACAAACATCAACTCCATCCTCAAAAAGGCTCAGCAGAGGATGTATTTCTTACGGCAACTAAGGAAGTATGGCCTACCACAAGAGCTGCTGATCATCTTCTACACTGCTGCAGTCGAATCCATACTTTGGTCATCCATCACTGTCTGGTTTGAGTCAGCCACAAAAATGGACAAATGCAGA